GCCATGTCACTAATCGCGGCTTTTATAAATAACCAAACCGACTCGTGAGACTCGGATTAAAAAAAAACTAAGGAAGAAAGAGTGAGTGATGATGGGTCGTGTTCGCTGCAAATCATCAGATTCATGCCAATACTCTTCCCAATACGTCGACGAGGAGGAAGACAATGAATCAGGAATCCACGAAGCCTGGGCTGAGATCTCGAGTTGTCGGAGATCATTTGTCGCCGGAGGAGACAGTTGGAAGAAGCTAGAGAAGAAGAAGAGCCATGTATTGGTTGAAGGTTACGTCGAGGCTGCTTCCACGGTGGAGAATCAAGACGATCTGACGAGATCTAAGAGCTTAACCGATGACGATCTCGAAGATCTCAAAGGTTGTCTAGATCTAGGATTTGGTTTCAGCTACGACGAGATCCCTGAGCTCTGCAATACTTTACCTGCTTTAGAGTTATGTTATTCCATGAGCCAGAAGTTCTTAGACGACAAGCAGAACAACAATAGATCATCTGAAAGTTCGTCGGTGGACGATTCTCCTTCTCCTCCGATTGCTAATTGGAAGATCTCTAGTCCCGGTATGTATCTAATCATGAATTGTTCTTTCCATTGATTGATTCGATGATCTATCTCTGATTTCATTTTGGTTTGTTGCTTAGTATAAGGAATTGAGGATGATGATCTGAATGTTTTCATTATTCTTGTGTGTTTCAGGTGATAATCCAGATGATGTGAAAGCTAGGCTCAAATACTGGGCACAAGCAGTTGCATGTACTGTCCAATTGTGCAGCTGAATGAATCATTGTCAGGAGTTCTAGTGAAGATCACATGAGCAATATCTTCTTAGCCATTGTTAGCTGAGGAGGAGTTCTTGGAAAGGGCATTGGAAGGTCTGAAAATTAACAATGATTCTTGACTTAATTCTATGTATGTGTAGTAGTAGTATCTAGTCTAATGCATTTATGAATGGAAAATAAAGGTATCAATGAATAAAAACATCAAATTCTTTCTCATTTCCTTGCTCGTAGCATAGAGCTTAACATCTACATCTAAAGAGCTGGATTCTTGTCATTATGCAGTGATGAGAGCCTTCTGTTTTTTTTTTCCTTAAAAGAGCATTCATTTCACTCACCTGACTGGTCATGCACCTTCCGAGGTAACTGATCTAACTGTGTCTGTTAACATTTCGTGGATGAATGCCATATCATTTCGTGAATGAATGTGTTAAGCTTATTATATGTGAGATATGAAAGTTGGATTGTTGTCCTTGTGCAGTGTTGAGAGACTTATGTTTATGAGAGCTATCACTAACTGGTTAAGGACCTCTACTTGTTGAGGTAACTAATCTTAACTTGGTAACTAGATCTTTAACCTTCATTTTGAAGGTCATGACATTACAACGAACCTCTGACTCATTCCAGTTGCCCTGAATGTGTGTTGAAGTTACAATCTTGTGGCTAAATTGCCTAATTTTGGTGATGCTCCTTGATCATAATGAACACTCGAGTGGGAGGAAAAAAAGGAAGATAGATGGATTTCAGATCTTCTTTGTTCTTCATTAACTAACCAAACTGGCAAAAGAGTGGATGGCTGATTACAATCGATACAGATCCTAGATGCTCAATTGGGAGAGTGAAGATGGGTAAAGCATTTTCTGGATCTGCTGAGTGCGTGTAAATATAAGCTAAAGTAAGCTTCTGATGAATGTTATGTGACAACATTGTTTCAGTCTCCAATATAAAAGTAGAGCCCAAAGTAGATTTCAAATTACACAGCCTCTTAATCAATGAAATTCTGAACAACTCATGACACTGAGGAATATTGTGCAAGTTTTTGATGTTATGAGTTCAAGTCATCTTTATGCAGAAGAATGCTGCAAGAACATAACGTTAATAACCATAAGCCACAGCCCCATTGTGAAAAGACCAAGTGGAAATTGCTATATGGATCAAATCACCTTTAGTTTGTCACAAGGTTCAAAAGCAAACTGTTAGGGATTTTACATCGATTAACTAAACAACAAGATAGTGCCTTATAAAAACCCAAAGATTTCAAACTAGATTTGCAAGGGCTTCACTGTTCATTCGAGTCAATGTTGCTCCCTGCTTGGCTGAATCTCCTTGTAAGTGCAGTCGCATCTTAAGACCAACACAAAAAAATCACACAACCCAAAGTCTAAGCAACTTATTGGAAATGAAAACCATGAGACACCTCTTAGAGCTACTCATTCTAAAAGCAGACTTGCTTTGCTAAGATCAAACTTTTTTTTTATTACCAGCATAGATGACTACCGTATCTATGACTACGGTGAATCAACTGTCTTTTCTCACTTGTGCTGATATAGAAAGCCAGTTATCTTACCTTCCTTCTTTGCACGATTGTGGAAACAAATTACTTCTCTACACTCCAACTGTTCGATTTAGCTTGTATTTTCTTCTTTTACTATGCTTTTCAATTTCCCCTCTTTCCGTAAACCCTTTCTTTTCGCTTGAATATGATACACAAATGCAGCTACTATGTCATGTAGTTTTGGGGGAAGCTTGTTTGTTGAAGAAACATTATGACCAGCATCTTTCAAAGCCCGAGCAACATCCTTTTGCGCTTTCTGAAAGTGCACATTACACAAGGCAGGAACAGTCGATGCAAGTGTTGGCTTTGGACAAGTTATTGCTTTAGACTGAGTTCTGCATATACAAATATAAACAATACCGAGTTAGAATAGAGCTGCTTAAGTAACCATCACATGTATAGTCTAAATTTCACAGCTTTACAACATTCCCAACCATTACACTAGCATGAGAATGTATGCGAATCAAACTAAAGCGAAACCAGAACGAACCTTTTATTGACATAAGTACAAGAAGTGTAAAGCTTCTGTTTTTTATCCGAGAGAATATGAAGCTGACAGTAATTCGATAGTGCCATTGCCTTGGATTTGCAACCATTACCACAAGCCACACAGTTATTAACACCATTGTTGTTATCATTGTCTCCACTACCTTCAACGCCAATTTCATCTATAATCTCACCTTCAATCCCAACTTTACGTCTCTTGTTTTGCTGAGGCTTATCTTCTCTGAAAGGACTAACACCATGCTTCCAGTAATACTCTCTGTGTTGCGCCTTGAGATCTTCCATTAAAGCCCAGTAATGGTCTCTATAGCATTTAGCGAGCTGTTTCAGGTTATGCGATCGGCGTCGGAGAAGCTCCGGTCGTGTTAAGTGAATGGAACGCCCAAGGATCTGATCCTCCACAGCCATCGAAATCGGCGAATTCGAGACGCTTGTGGTGGGATTATTAGGGTTTCGAAATTGGGATTCTTCCAATACACCGGATTTAATTGGAATTGAAGCAGTGTTGGGAGATGGATGCCTTGGTGGTTTCGAAGGGTTTTGCTTCGGAGCAGACGCCATTGTCACAGTAGTGAAAGAACTCAG